ACACAAGGAGGGCATGATTCTCTCTCCTTATTGACAAAGACAGGTAGTTAAATAAGGACGGGGTAAGTGATTGCCCTCCATGTACCTTAGCAGGAGTAAGGACATGTAGTCCAGATCTGTGTGGCTGACAGCACCTTAAATGTGTGTTCAGTGAGCACAGCAGATACAGAGCCAGGCAGGTTCTGACCATTTAAAGTCACCTACTCAGAAAGCAGCCAGTAGGTACTGGCACATGGGTTATCTGCTTCAAAGGCAGCTGGGGCCTTAGAAGAGGGCCTGAGGACTGAGGACCTCACTGAATGATAGAGTATTGGTCCCACTGAGTATTTTTTTGGTAATACGCTGTGATATTGCCTAGAGCAAAGTAAAATTTATAGTTCTGGTAGAATAAGGCTCTATAAATGTACATATGGCATGAGTGCACCTTCAGAAAGCTGTAAAACCTTTCCATGGTGTTTGAAACAGTCCAGCAAGCTCAGGTGGCCTTTCAGGGGAGCTCTGTTTCAGTTTCTCTGCAGACACCAGTTTTCACAGTGAACATTTGCTGCAGCAAAGCTTTTTGGGGAAGATGTAAGTAGGAAAGGATAAATTATCTAGAATTACATCTTCTTTCAGACAGATGTGTCCATAGGGCCAAACAGCCTGATGATATGTGTGAAGTTGAAGTCTGTGGAAAGAGCAAACATCACCATTTGTTCTTACTAACTGCAGAACAAAAGTTTCATTGCCTGCCTTTCAAGCCCTCTGCCTGTCTTATTCCTTTCTCTGAGAGAGTATCTCCCATAGAAGTAGGTGCTCAATCTCACAGACATTTGAACAGCCAACTGATTGATGGATGTCAGTGCTACTGAGGGAAGAAGGAGGATTTTGGTTTTATGGCCTTTTCAGTAATACAGTTTTAAAAATATAGTGCTTCAAATATGAAGACAATCTTCTATCATCCTCAATATTTTTTAGCAGTAGTTAATGCCCTCAGCCCTATTTGGTTTTGGTTTGGACTGCAGACTTCAGCTTTCATCTGTTGGATCTTGCAACGTGATTATTTTTAGAGAGAGAGCAGCACTGGGATTTAGGTTTCTGTTCCCTAGACCAAGCTCATGCTGGGAGTTTGGTACAGCCTGCAAGAGCCAGTAAGGCTCTTTGGGAAAGTGCAGTCAGAGCTGCAACGCTTGGCACAATTACCTTTGCTATTAATTTGAAATAGTCAGTCATCTGAAGCATGGCTTTTAAAGCTGTTAACAAATAATTAACTGCAGCACACGCTCTTGGCCCAGCAAGGATAGCTTGTTTAGCCTGAGTCTGCACTGTGTGAAAAACTGTATGTTCTGAACTTCAAAGAGGAGCAGTAAATCTATTTATTGATCTATCTCTCTATTAATCTATTATTAATCTATCTCTCCTTTACAGGAGATCTGTTTTCATTTACATAATCCCACAAAACATCAGTCATTAGTAATTCAGGACAGTGAAGATCACTGTGTGTCAGCGTTGCCCTTGGGCAGCCCTGTGTAACACACACTGGCAGTGCTGACCTTCCAGCCAGCACCCGAGCAGCAGGCAGCGGCCTGGGGCTGTCACTTCTGCTTCACAGACACCCTGCTACCTGTGCCTTGCTGGGAGGGCTGGTGGCTGTGTGCTCAGGCAGGGCAGTGCAGGCTGGTCTGAGCTCTGGTTACACGTGCTGACCCCTCCAGGAATCAGCCACAGGCACCTGCTGAGCTCAGTGCTGGGCACGGCCCCTCTGGAAACCCACCCTCTGCCCCTCTGGTACCTCCAGATGTTGGTACTGCATGGGAGGGGAAGGAGAGAAAGCATGACAAGGCTGTTTTTGAATGATCTGACACAGGAATCACCAGGCAAAATCGTTAGCTTGTTCTGGGAATCAGATCAGACCATGGAGTCCAGTGGAGAACCCACAACTCGAGGTGCTGTGTTTGAGGAAGGGGCTGACCACAGCTCTGGTCAGGAGTGGGAACTTGCAGCTTACAGAGGGGCAGGGCCAGAGGACCAGGAGTGAATGCAAGTGTCTGTGGAGCTCTGGTACCCAAGGGCTTGATAGGCAGCTGCTCCTCCAGCCTTTCCTTAAAAACTCTTCATCATGAAGATCCTCTCATCTCCCCAAGGTACTTTCATTCAGGGCTTGTATTTCATTATCATTAGAAACTTGGTCAAAGTTAAGTATGTTTCTCTTGCAGTCGAGCTGTTGTTTCTAATCCTGTCATTCTGCTGGCTTATCCACAGTGATCCTCTGCAGTCCTCAAGGTTTTTCTGTAGTACTTCTGCCTGGCCCCATTTTTACCCATTTTCCAGCTCTGGCTGTGGTTGAAATGCATTCTGAAAATTTTGGACAGCTTCTCTCTTTTATCAGAATTGCAGTCTCCTCCAATCTAGCCACTCCAAGGTCGTTGGAATCTCTCCAGTTTAGCATCTTCCAGAAATCTTCTAAGTATGCTGTTTATTCCTCATCCAGATCATGAAGCAGTTTAATGGCATTGAGCTCAGGACTGAGCTGTGTGGAATCATTTTTTGCAATGACAGTGAGCTAGTCTTCCCAAACAGGGGCTTGTGCCAGCTGTACTCAGGTCACGTTTGCCTGTTGTTCTGCTGGGACCATCACATGGGCATTCAGAGAGCATCAGCCCCTCCCTGAGCTGGGGTGGGCTGGGTGTCCTGGGGGTGCCACTGCTTTCAGACCCCTCCTTAGAATGAAGCTGGTCCAGGTGCCTGGCAGCAGCACCAAGCAGTAACTGTGGTGTTTGAGGAACATCCCACCTCCTCTTCTGTGTCTGTTTGGAGCTAAGGGTAATGAGAAAGGCTGCTGGAAATGCCTGTAGTGGGCGTTGAGCCATTCCCACTGCTGCCCTCACCCCTGTGAGATGAAAGCCTTTGCAGAGGTCTTCTGCAGCAGTTCAATGCCTTCACCCCAAAAAGGGAAAGAATCAGATGCTGACTTCAAACCTGCCTTTAACTCCTGGGCTAACTCACAGGCCGAGGGCAGGATTTGGGTATTTTGTGAACGTCTGTGTGGGGGGGTGTGCATCCCCTGTGTGCCTCCTGGCCAGAGAAGCTCATCATGGGAGTGATTCGTCCCAGCTCTCGCCGCTGTGGTGGACTCAGAAGACACAGCCCCTCCTGCCATGGGGTAGCAGAGCTCTGGCTTCCTTAATCCTGGCACATTTTGTAGGGAGGGAGCTGTGTCAGCACAGCGGGATCGGGATCCCAGCTGGTCAGAATGGCCTGGGCTGGTTCCCCAGTGCCACCCACACAGCACAGCTCCCTGCCTTGCCTGGGCAGCCCTTGGGATTGCTGTTCTCCTCTGTCTTGTGCAATGCCCAGAACTTAATGATAGCCCTCTGTGCTGGCTGCCAATAGTCAGGGAAGCTCACTGCACTATGAAGATGTTTTCCTGTGGCCCTGGCCACCATCCCATCCCACCTCACCCACTTGTGGCTTTGGAGCACTGTTTCTCCCATAGCTGGGGTTCCATCCAACTACAGCATGAGAGCTGAGGAGTTGTTTCCAGCTTGCTGTGTCACAGGGAGCCCATCTGTGCCCATTTGCTGGCTCCAGGCTCTGTGCCCTTCAGCTTCCCCTTGTGCCCCTCTGCTCTCCTTCCCAGCCCCCTCTCCTGAGTGGCACCAGCAGCCCAGCTCCCTCTGCTGACTGGTCCTGAGCCTGTGGATGGGAGCCAAGAGCACCTCCAAAGGCAGAGAGAAGGGGTGACCTGGAGGAATGGCCTCTGAAAGGATCCCAGCTGGGGACACGGCACCTTATGTCATAGCAGGGCTTTATCAGCAGTGCAGCATCCAGGAAGGGTGAGGTGCTTGTCAGGGATTTGGGTGAGTGGCACAGAGACTTGCACAGCTGCTCCTGGCCTCAGTCTCTTGGTGGCACATACAGAGCTTTTTCCATTTCATTCCTTGCACAGGTGCAAGCTTTGATTTCCCTTGCAGGCTCTCAGCCCCCTTAGCAAGGCCTTGCTCCTGCCTTTCATTACTGTACCAGACATGGTTGATCTAATGGCTTCTGCAGGTGGTGTGGGGTACAACAGGGTCCGGCCACGGTCCTCAGCTGTCATCCAGAGTCAGAGTTAATTCAGGAAAACAGTAAAAATTAGTAATGTATATTGCATTCCTCCAGTCCATACGCTTTCCATTAGGTGATCTTCCATCCTCCTGAGCACAGAAAGGAAACCCAGCCAATGGCAGTCTTCTGGCTCTGAAAGGATTGGTCTTGCCTGGAAATCCAATCTCAGCTCTTGCATTCCTGGGCACACTGTCTGTGCAGGGAATAATCTCCCACCTTTAAATCCAGGCAGCAGATGCTAGCCATGTGCACAGCCTGTAAGCCCAGCAGCTCCTGTGGCAGCAGATGTCCCAGGCTGGGGGCCACACTGGGGTCCTGTGTGCTGCTCAAGGTCTTCCTGTGCCCAGGGCTCTGTCAGGGGAGTGGTATTGCCCAGTGTCACCACATCAGTCAAGTACATCAGCCAGGTCAGCGTGGGAATGAGGCACAGTTAATTCTTTTGAGAGATCACATTTTAGGGTTTTTTGTTAATAAACTGGTGAAGAAATTTCTCAAGGTCCCCAGTGTCAAGAGGGTTACAGAAAGTGAAACATTCAGCTTTCTTAAATAAACCTTATTTTCAATTACTCCCATACTTTAGTGGCTCAAGTACAACAGTTCTGTAATGAATGTTACACAGTGCAAACTCCATCAGTAATGATGTGCAGATGAAGAAGGGGAAATAAAAGACATTAATTTCTAGGTGTGACTGCACATGCTAAGTGTGGTCTGGGCTCTTTGAGGTGTCACAAGCAGTCTGGGGCTCTGCTGTGTGAGAGGGAGCTCCATGTGTGCAGCTGCAGAAAGGGAGTTCCCCCTCTGCAGCTCCTGCTCCAGACAAAAAGGGGTCCAGAAAGCTCTGCTTTTAGTGCTGTTGGATCCCTAGCTTGCAGGGCTAACTCTGACCTGGTTTTTTTTTAACCTTACTTTTGCAGAGAATGTGATCAATGGGCAGGACTACGAGGTGATGATGCAGATTGACTGCGAAGTGATGGACACCAGGATCCTCCACATCAAAAGTTCATCTGTCCCTCCCTACCTCCGAGAGCAGCGCAGAAATCACACTGACACCTTCTACAGCTCCTCCCCCTCCGTCCCAGAGACGCCCCATGCCCTGAGGGCCATTGTCAAATCCCTGCAGTAGCTCTTGTGACAGCGCACAGGGGAGCACCGGCATGCAGCAGGTCCTGCCACCAGCCTGAGCCCCTTCCCTGGCAGGTCCTGGGGCTCCTGGCATGTGGGCACAGCAGGGACAGCCCCCTTTAGCCCATTCCTGTGCCTGACCTCACCCAATGGCCGCATCCTGCCCAGGGATAATGCAGCTCAGCTGGCTCCTTGCCAGGGACAGTCCTGGGGGCCCCACACGACGTGGGGGACATGGGCCATCCCTGTTACTTATGCGCTGTCCAGAATTGTGGGTTGGTTTTCATTTCTGTCCCTGTTAGGCTGCCAGAGGTCGGCTGATGAGCCAGAGACAAGAGAGCAGACATCCACACTTGGGATGAGGCCGCTCTCCCTGCAGGGTGCTTGGGCAGCAGGAGAAGTCCAGCTCCCAGCTTCAGGTGCTGGGCCTGACCAGACAGCCCCACTCCTCATCGTTCCCTCCCAAATCCTGCCTATGCAGCCTCCCTCAGCAGGAAGCCCTGGGATGCAGCAGTGTGGTGGAACAGCCCAGCCCAGCCCCTCAAGAGGGTGCTGGGGCCCCTCACTCACCACTGAAGCACTACAAGCAGAACAGCCCCACTGCCCTGGGGCTGGGCTGACCGATGAGGCGCTGCCCACCCTGCACCTGCCTGGCTCTCCAGGATCCTGGTGCTGCCTTCCCAGCCCACGTGGCTGCACGGCTGAAGGCTTGCCCCAAAGGAAGTGATTTCATGCAGCAGATGCATTTGTAAAGTTTGGGTTTTTGGAGTTTTGGGGGTTTTTTTTCCTGGTTTTTGTTTGCGTGGGATTTTTGTGTGTGCTATTTAATACTTTTCACTGCTAACAACTGCCCTTGGAGCAGCACTAGCCTTGCTGGGGATGCTTCAGTTCCATGGGACGGAGCCACAGCACCTTCTCCTGAAGCCACACATGTGTCACACACACTCAGCACCACACAGCCCTGTCTGCCTCACCAGCACAGCCAGCCACTCGCTGGGCAGCGGGGGAGGCTTCCATTGGCCCCAAACACTGGCCACAGCCAACTGCTGCCATTGCAGAGTGAAGCTCTGTTCACTGTTCCTAGTCTGTCAGCCGAGCCCCAGGCCAGAGCTGGGCCCAGGAGCTCCAGCACACTGGAGCTCAGCTGGGATGAGCTGCCAGCAGAGCATCAGCCTTGCATAATGACTTCAGCATGTTGTTACATTATTTTTTTCTCCCTTGTGCAGTTTGCGAAGAGGATGATGAGCTTCAGTTTGACAGCCAGCTGCCTTTCCTTCATGGTTTGAGCGCTAACTGGCTCACATGGGATTATTAATTATTAATTATTATTATTAATAATGTATGTGTGTGGCTGTTAGGAAATACAGGTTGATCCCGCAGCAAGCATCCCGCAGCAAGACAGCTCCAGGGGCAGTGAGGAGGAGGATGGGGGCAATACACCCCTGTGAAGTATGTGCCTTGCAGCACCTTGGGGAAGCTGTGCCCTTTGCCACGTCCCCGGCAGCGCAGGCCCTGTCCTCACAGCGTTCACGCTGCTGGGAGGGAGCTGGGTTTGGCTGCGCTGCTCACACCAGTTCATTTTCCTGGCCTGGCCCCACCTGACTGTGGGCCAGCTCACAATAGTCAGAAATAAAAACCCCAGCGGTGCCCCAGCCAGAGGCACACGGCTCCCCCGCAGCCATGGGTAGGGGCTGCTGGCTGCTCTGGGGGCATTTGCTGCCAGGGAGCTGGGGAGGGGACTGGGGTGGTGGCTGAGCTTGGCACAACCTTGGGAAGGGCTGCTGGTGGGGGTGGGGGCTCGGGACTGCTGCAGCACCACGTCCTCAGTCAGCAGCCCTGGGCTCTGGTGGTGGAGAGCATCTCTCATGCTGTGTAATTCTGTCCTCTGTGTCCCTAGTACTGAAGGCAGTAAAATCCTTCTTTTATTTATTACTAATAACTTCATTATTGTACTTGTTAATACTGTTTTCCTTAGGCAAACTACTGGAACACCTGCCCTGGTCTGCCATCTCTTGGGCTGTGCAGTGTGGCTCTGCTTGGCACAGTGTTGGCAGTGCCCATGGCTCATCTACCTTGTCCCCCTCCTGCTGCTGGAGAGCAGGTACCCTACACAAGCTGCTCACCCAGACCCTGCCAGAGGAGCCCATGAGGGCTGGAAGTGGCATGGCACCCTGCCCCAGTACCAGTCCCAAGCAGCCTAAAGCCCTCTGGAGTTTGTCCCCATCTGGTGTGTAAACTGGCTCTCCCCAAACCAACCAAAACCCACCCAAAACACCCCTGTGCATTGTCATGCACCCAGAGGGTGAACCAGAGTCAAAGAAAGCCCCAAACAGCTGCAAAGGTACTGGATCCTTTATTACTGACAGCAGGTAAATACAAGATGCTGATGGGCAGGAGGGCAAGGGCTGTGTCTCTCTGAGGGGATCCTGGTAGTCCTGGTCCAGGACTGGCATGGGCATGAGAGGGAATGTAGGAGGTTGAGTGGCACAGTGAGGGCGCTGCCGGCCCCTGCCCAGGCAGCCCAGTGCCCAGCTGAGCAGAGCCTTCACCACACCAGCAAATGCCAAGGGGAACTATTTGGGTTACAAGATGAACAAACAAAAGCCATCTACACATATTTACAGCATCCCCCTCCTGCTGCCAGCTCCCTCCAGGCATGAGTGAGGGCTCGGGGTGCGTCCAGCCCCCCAGAGCGGCCTGCAGAGAGCAGAGCCCCGGCTGGAGAGGACAGTCCTCGACATAAGTACCAGCACCAGGGGCTGCTGGAGCTGTGCTCGCAGCCCCGTTGTACAGCAGGATCTCCAAGGGGCCTGCTGGCCATCAGCTGGGAAGAGGAAGATGGTCCTGAGAGATGGGACATTCCCATGGGACATGCAGGTCCTCCACCAGGACTGGCAGGCAGCAGCATCCTGCTGGGACCTGGTGCATGCAGCTTTGCACTGGTTCAGGGTGTATTGCTGATCATCTCCAGCTAAAAACATCCTCAGGAGGACGGTGTCTGGGCCACCTCCTCTTCCCTGGGTAGGAGAGCCAGGCCTGCCCTTCCAAAGGAGGACCTCCTTCCCCTGGGAAGGAAAATCAGAAGCAAGGATACAGCAAAGACAAAGGGAGTGCTTCTGGCCTGGGGATTGATCTACAATCCACCATAAAAAACCAGCTTGAAACAAAACCCATCATTTACTCTTCAATTTGTACAAAATAACAATAATAACAATAAAAATAATAATAAAAGGTGCTGGTGGCCCCTGGCTTGCAGTGCCCCACTGTGGTGGGGGGGTCTCAGTAGGCAAAGATGACGTGGTAGGTGACTTGGTGGCCATTGTCCCAGGCGTAGAGCAGGCGGTCCTTGGGGTTATAGTCTATCTGCGTGGTGTAGGCGTACTCGTTCTCAAAGAGCAGCCTGGGGATGATCTGCGTGTTGGTGTGCGTGTCAAAGGCATAGGAGATGTTGGCGTTCCTCTTGTTGTAGCTGTCGACTGCATACAGGACCCCACAGATGACAAAGCAGTTCCCATAGAAGTTCTTGCGCAGCCCCGTCCGCCACGTGGTCTCCTTCTGGGTGCTGAGGTCGGCCGCGTTCAGCTTGCTCAGCACGATCACCTCCTGGTTGAAGCCCTCGTAGCTGATGGCTGGGTAGATGACCCACAGGCCGTTCTCGTCCACGGCAAAGTCCACGTCAGAGTGGCCTCGCCACCGCCACGGGGTGGACTCCTCGTAGGCCACGTCGTGCAGCATGGCCCAGGCGGCCACGTAGCGCTGCTTCAGGTCGTACTTGATGATGTTGCGCGTGAAGGCCCGGTTGTAGTAGAAGGAACCGTTGTAGACAACGTGCCCTGTCCCAATCCAGCTGTATGGGAGCTTGTAGGAGTTGCTCCAGCGACCTGCAGGGCAGACACACCTGGCTGCTGAGACCTCCCTTTGCTGTGGGGTGAGTGGCCATGCCAGCAGCACCTCTGCCCACAGCTCTGCCTACACTCCCTCCCTGGCCACCAGCCACAGCCTGAGCTGTCCCATGCTCTGTACCCTGCACACCGGGTGTTAGCACCCAAGAGTGGAAGGTCTCTAGGCAGATCATCCCTCCACGATGCAGCATCCCCAGGAACAGGGATGCTGCTTGGATCAGCTCAGTGGTGGCTAGCATGGTATCAGAGATGGTGCAAACCCACCTTGCTTGAAATTGTCAAGGTTCCTGAACTCCACCAGTGTGTTTCCATAGTAGTAATTGGTGACATAGATCCGCTCCTCCTGGGCCAGGGGGTCCTTCATCCAGGCTCCCTCATTGCGCCCGTAGGTGTTCTGGGTGGTGGGCCCTGAGATGGTGGACAGCGTGTCCTTGCAGCGCCCTGCATGGGGAAGGAAAGGCTTGTGAGGCCAGAGGCAGGGTGGCCATGCTCTCCCTGAAGGCATCATCCCCCCGCAAGCCCCTTGCTCACCCAGCAGGAACCCCCTGCCACCTTGGCTCTGGTGCAGCTTTGTGAGGCCCAGCAGGACTGGCCAGACCCCACAAACATCTCCCCACAGCCTCAGCCATGTCCCTGCTCCAGCTGAGGCTGCTGACTATCTGAGGTCCCATTGCTTTTTGCTCTGCCCAACCCAGCCCCTAAAGGTGGGAGGAAACTACAGTAGGTTCCAGAGTTAATAATTAAACCTGGCACCCCAGTGAAGTGCTGTCCAGCTGCCATGTCCATGACACCTCCCATCTGTGACTGAATCCAGGTGTGCTGTGCTTATTAGGACAGGCTGTTGGCACAAGCCAGCCCCCCCTCACAAAGCTGGATGGGCACAGCACCTGCAGGAACTCACCAATGATGTTCCTGATGTCCTCCTCCTCCAGGCCTTCCTTTGGTGTGGCAGGGATGGCTGGGCTGACCAGCGTTGCAGGGGTGTTTGCCTCGACCCAAGCTCCTGGGCTGGGCTCCATGTCACTCCAGCCTCCAGTGGGGGTGGCCACGAGCAAGTTCTCTGTGGCTGTGGCCATCACTGTGCTGGCCATGCCCGGGAGCTGTGGGGTCCCCTCCTCCGCCAGCCCTGTCGGGGCAGTCATGGACTCTGGGGCAGGGATCAGCCAGCTCATGGCGGTGGGGTCTGGCGTGGCAGGGGACAGTGGCACTGTGGATGTCACAGCAGTGCCCGCAGCTGGCAGAGTGGTGGGAGCTATGCCAGGGGTGGGCGGCCACCCCACTGGGGAGGGCTTTCTCATGGGCTCGCCTGCCCTGCTGCTGGGCCTCAGGAGCTGGTCCTCTATCAGCAGATCCACCGTGTTGTCCCCGCTGAAGAGCTCGTCCGCTGCCAAACACAGGCACAGGTGTCAGCCCTGCAGCCAGGGGAGCCAGGCCCCTCCAACTGGCTCCCTGCGCACTGCTGCAGGCTGGCTGGTACTAAATCCACCTGTGTTCCCTCTCCGTGTCCCCTCTGGAGGCTGACAGTGCCCATGTCAGGAGGTGAGTGAAGCCCCATCACAGTGACATCCACCACCTCAGGCCAGGCAGAGTGGGAGGTGACAGAAATCAATTCTGCCCTGCCACCTCCCAGAGAATGGGCAGGATGGAGACCCAGCTGCATTCCAAACCAGATCCCACTCACCTAACCCAGGATCCAAAGCAGGAGCCTCAGCCAGGGCACAGGGATCACTGGGATTCCCCAGTCAGCACGGGCACCCTTTGATCCTCCTCATCTCCAGGAGCTCACAAACCCCTGCAGGGCAGGGCTGGATGTCCTTGCTGAGCCAGTCTGCACAGCGAGGGCACCTGCCCTTCTGCCCTGCCCGCGCTGCCTGCCCCACCGGTCCATGAGGGTTCATCCCCTGCTCCCAGCTTGGGCCATGAGCCCTGAACTGCCTTCCACCACAGCAAACACTGCACAATCCTCCCGGGATGCCATCGGGCAGGCGTGTTTGAAAAGCAAGCATATTGAATAAACCTCCATTTACTTCTGGAAAGGTGTTGATGCTGGGTGTTTTGAACCAAAGAAGTGAGCTATTTCCTTGGCTATCAGAGATTTTCCATGGAATAACAATGCTACACTGCCCCGCATGCACAGCTCAAAGGCTGCACAGCAGTGAGGTACCAGCTGTCCCACATCCCCCTGCTGCTCCCCACACACTTTGCGCCCACATTCCCAGGGGATGAGGCACTGGCTTTGCTGCAGGATGCAGCCACCATCCCACCATGGCTGCATACCCAACTCACGTTGCTCCTCGATGTCATTCTCTGACTCAGTGGACTGGGCTTTGTAGTAGGTGACCCCTCGGACAATGGTGGGCTTGGAAGGAGGCCGGCTCCTCACCCGCAGCTTCCTCTGCAAGAGCTGCTCAGGCTTCTTCTCCTCCAGAGAGAGGTGCAGCTCTGGGAGGGATTCCACAGAGTTGATCTGCTGGGAGATGGTTTCATCCTTCAGGAATCTTTCTTCATATTTTCCCTGGAAGAGACACAGGAGGTTGTTAGCAGATAGTAGAAATGCCATGTTTTGGTGAAAGGGCAGGTCAGGCTGCACAGCCCCATTTTGGGCAGAAGGATTTGAGCTCCCTCCTTCCTCAGGGTCTCCCTCAGTCCATTTTGCCATAGGAAGCCCTTCAGACCAGCACTGCTCCTGCATATCCTTGGTGCCACCTTGCAGTTCTGGGACTCAGGGCTCCATAAGACACACTGTGGGGTGCAGGACAGGCAGGAGAAGTAGGGTCACTCCCTGGAATGCCAGGGGCTGGTTCCAGCAGCTGATCTGCAGAGTGTGCAATGTACACTGAGCTTTCACAGGGTACAGAGGCTGAAGGCACCTTCCCAGCAGGAGCGGGAACCTCCCGAGGCAGGGACCAGGAACCCCCCCAGGGCAGGGACCAGCTGCCACAGCTCAGGTCTGAAGGATTTCATCTCATTAAAGAAAATCGAAAAGCCAGCCTGAGGGTTGAAGCAGTGCCCATTTGGCTGACAAGATGGGCCCTGCTGCAATTAGCAGTGAGAAAAGGGGAATATTGGGAAATGAGGTCACTCAGGGTAATAAAAGCCCCATGCTCTGCTCCCCTGCCTGGCTGGGGCTGGCTCCTCTCCAGCAGGCAGCAGCTGCTCAGCTCATGGTGTGGGGAGCAGGGGAGTGGGGCTGGGAGCCCAGCCGGACACCCCTGCCTGGGCACGGCTCTCCTTGGGGCAGGGAGCGCTGGCACAGCACAGTTGGTGCCATTTCCCTCCCGGCTGACACACAGTGCACGTGTGGGAGCCCAGCACTGTCCCCAGGGGCTTGGGGAGCCCATCCCCACACAGGATCTGCAGAGCAGGGATGGAGGGCAAGCACAGGCTCTTGCCATCCTCAGGAGCTGAGCACCCCTGCTTGAGCTGGAAATTATGCACTAACTGTTCCCCCCTGCCAGACACCTCCTATTGTCCTGCAGAGGGACACTGGGGTGAGGGCAGGACACTCCAGGAGCTGCCCAGCAGGGATCAGAGGAGCATGGGCCATCCTAGATAGTCCCACTGAAGCAGCAAGAACTTCAGAACACCCTGGTAAGACCTTTTCCCCAAACACCCCGCTCACATCTCTCTGGGGCTGCACCGAAACTGCTGCCCCAGGCAAAGGATGTCCCCATGCTGGGCAGATTTATGGGGACCCCACAGTCTGGTGCTGGGTGCCAGAACCAGGGGATGCCCAAGCCCCTGCCCAGAGCCCGCCAGGCACAGGGGCTGGTGGTGGAGGGGTAATTGCCTGGCTGGGAGGGAGGGGAGGCAGGCGACAGGCTGTCCCTCCACCGAGCCCCAAGCCCTGCTAATCAAAGGCTCTGTTTCCCAGCGCTTCCCAGCCGGCCCCACAATGACATCACGTTTTCCAAGCAGCTCAGCCACCGCTGACCTCGAAAACCAACAACCCCGTGGGAAGGGGGGAGGCCGAGGGAGCAAGCTCCCCCTGCTTCCACCTACATCCCATCCCAGCAGCAGCTGGGCTGTGCCGAGGCACACGGCTTGGAGTCAGAGGCACATGAACAGGGTCACTCCAGTGAGGAGAAAATCGCCCCGGGGCAGCAGCCACATCCAGAAGCCACCCCAGGGCTACGCGGGCAGCAGCAGTGACACCGAGCTGTACCTCCGAGTGAGCGTAGGCAGCCTCCGCGTCCCGCTGCAGAGAGCTCTCGATGTCGGCCAGGCTGTTGGTGAGGAGCCTGGAGCAGTTTTCCCTGCCAGGGGGATCCTGCAGACCCTCCTCCCCGCTGGCTCCTGCCCGCTGGCCTTCCTGCGTCAAGTTCCTGGACATGCCCTAGGAAAGCAGGAGAGGACACTTGAATGACAAGGGGTGTTCTGTGGCCCCCAAACCACAGCTCTGGAGCTCTGTGCTGCCATCCTGGGCTCAGAGCTGGGGATTCTCCATGAGGCTAGGCACTTCAGCTGCTAAGAAGATGCCCATGACCCCAGTGGGATCCAGGAACCCCCTCCCTGGTGTACATATCCCAGATCCACTCTTTGCTGCAGGTTCCCATGGAGTGGGAGAGTGGCCTTGAGGCTCTCCAACCCCCACCCTCAGCCACATTCACCAGCTCACAAAAGGAAGAGGAAAAGACAAGCTGAAACACCTTAAGTCAGCCTGGTGCCCTTTACCTGTGGCAGCAAGTTCATCTTGCATTTATTAATCCCACTTTCCTGGCCTGGCCACACAGTGCCTGCACTCAGGGACTGCTGCTCCCCAACACCCTCTGCTCCCATAGAATCTGAGAATCTAGGAACAGAACAAGAGCCAGTGACCCTCAGAGAGCTGTCCTGTGACAGGGACAGAGCTGGGGCTGGTTGCAACTCACCCAGCAGGCAAAGCCCTTCACTCTTCTCAGTCCCCCAGCCACAGACACACCCCGTACCCAAGGGATTGTTGCAGTCTCTGCTCATCACTCCTTGGGCTTCTACACCTCAAACAGCAACTGCTTTGGATAGGTGGCACATCAGTCAAAGCACTTTAGCACAGACACTGGGGGTGGTTACCCTGATCCTTCATTTTCAATCTGTTCCATCATTAATTTCTCCTAAACCCACTGTGACCTCCATCTGTGACCTCAAAATTGCCAGCTGATGCGACAGCTGTGAGCTGAAAACAAAGCAGAGGAGCTGCCTCACTAGAGAAGGCACTCCATGGACCAAGAATTGGAAGTTCCCTCCCTCTACCAACACCATTGGTCTAAAATACCTTGTTGTACTGCACAGAACTCATGAAACCTTCCAAGCTCTGCAAAACCAGAGTGTTAACCCCCAGCCCCTTCCACGGGTATCTGAATTCCCAGTCTTTACCCAAGAATCATGAGTCACCGATTTACCAGGATATTTGAGGCTGAGTCCAATGACACAGGGACTCTCCAGCAAGCATTTTGCTGCAGTAAGCAGAGGAGCAGGGCATCTCATGATGCTCTCCCAGGAGCAGTGCAGGAGCAGCTCTCGACACCATCCTGCTTTGGAGAGGATGACTGATTCCAAGGCCTTGTGCCCTTATCGCTTCTCCTGTGTCCTGTTTGGCTTGCGACCTGCTCAAGGTTGAAATCTGCCTCCCCCTGCGCAGAGAGGCAGCACCAAAGCCTGGCCTGTGATGCTGCTGAGGCTGCTCAGCTGCTGTGCAGGGCAGCAGCTGCCAAAAGCACACCAGCCTGGGAGGGCGATGCTCTGAAGCCATGCCAGGCTCCAGTTCAGCATCTCAGCTGTCCCTGCTGTCAGAGCCCAGGCCGGTGCAGGGTGTGATCCTCCTCCACATCCTCCCAACAGGAATTCCCGTGCTAAGCCAGCAGCAGGAGGCATTTCACACCTGCTGTCTGCATCAGCTCGGCTCTGCCCCAAGCACTGGGCAATCTCCTTCTAACCAAGGCCTCTCCTGCCTTTCTCCATCCTGTCCAAGTGCCTGCAGGCAGCTTCAGCTGCTTTTACATGATCCTGCAGCCTCACTTCTGGGAAATTTGAGACCCCTGTGAATTCCCTGCTCCTACACCTCTACAACTCCATCCCAGGCCAAACTCCTTCAGCCCTACAGAGCTTTCTGCCCATCTGCCTCCCTGTGACAGGCTGTGAGCAGAGTGACCAGGCTGCAGAGGTCACCCCACGTGCCCAGTGTGCCACCAGTACTGCTGGCTCTGAACCCCCTGCAGAAACCAGCTGGTAGGCAGGGCCACTTTGATACTGGAGCAGAGTTCAGTGATAACACCACCTGAAACAATCCCTCGGCAAACCCAAGTAATGATTGAAGAACGCACTAAACCACAGGAAGAGGGTGGGATTGCAAAGGGGAACATTGGTGCTTTGTTATTTTCAGACCTCAAAACCCCTTTTGGGTCAATTTCCATGCTTGGAAACTCAAAGCCCCCCAGGCAAGTGTGCCCCCCTCAGCAGTCTCCTTCCTGACCCCAGGACAAGCACGCTGTGCCTTCCCGGAACACTTTGCAAGTGGAATTTTGGCTTTATAAATCATTGCCTCTCAGCTCCTGGCTGGAGACAAACAGGACTGCTCCACTCCGACAAGAATGTGGAATTACCGTCCCAGATACGGACCACGGGAGAAAACTCCACTATTTAATCTGGCAACCTGTTCCTACACAGCCGAGCACAGTTTAAACTGCAAACCCTACGCTGTGCTAGCCAAAGAAATATTAAACTGTATGGAAGTGAAAATTATTTCACTGGAAGTCTGCTCTAAAATTAAATGGAAGGTTGAGGGTTCTGCTCTGTTTTAACACAGGCCAAGACGTAACTTGGTCCTTCAGGAATGTGAGCTCCTTGGCTCCCCACAGTCCTGCTGAGTGTACCCCAGCACCAGCCTTGAACCTCTCGCCCCCACATCAAACAGCACAAAAGCTCCTGGTTGAGAGCAACCATCACACCAGCATGCAAGTAAAACTGAGAAGAGGAAAAACTTAACAGCAGGGCCTTCTGACCCAAAGGAGATGCTGCTCCTGCTGAGGCCACAGTTGGGATCCTGCTCCCAGTCTAAACCCTGAGGGACTGTGGGAGCTGGAGAGGGTCAGGCAAGGCTGGTGGGGCGGGGATGCACTGAGCACTGCCTGTGATCAGGTCTGGTTCAGACATCCAAGTCTGGTCTGGTTTAGTTTCAGCCAAATAGTTAATTAGCATTTCTTCCCAGGCAGCGTGGCTCTGAATGCACCAAAGGTAGCAGGAACTTGGCTGGAGGTCAGTCCCACTGAGGGCAAGGCCATTGAAGGAGAGCAGGACTCACCTCCTCGAGCTTCTCCACCCGACCCACCAGCTTGGTCGTGACTGAGTGCAGCTTCAGAAGGTCTAAGCCATAAAAAGCACTTTCCAGCATCTCGACGATGGAGGAGAGCTGCAAGGCAAGGGGAGAACAGTCAGGCAACAGCACTTGCTGTAACATACCCCGTGTAGCTTCTTCAGCCAAAAAGTCAAGTGCACTCCACCTGAGTGCAAGAATTTGGATTAAAAGGCAAGGTTGCCCTTACACAGCCCTGCTGCACTGCTGCCCGGGTCAGAACATGGCATGCAGAGTGACACTCGCCACCTCCACAGAGCCTCAGGGCTTCAGGAGCACATTTTGGGTGCTGGGGATTAGTAGCAGAGCAAGGTAAAATGCTGCTCTCTTTGCCAGTTCTAGGCAGGCTCTCCCACAAGCCCAAAGGCTTAAGTAGTCCACCAGTGATGTGACTGCCAGCAAAAGAGGCAACAAGGAAAAGGCAGCTCAGTTTGAGATCAGACTCTGAGTTCATGCCATCCTGTGCTCTTTTTCCTGGAACAAGAAGAAACTTGTTAAAAAGTTTTAAAATACCCTCAAATTGCAAGAGTGAAGAAATAGAAATTCAGTGCCAGCCTGGCAACAGTTGCCATTCTGAAGAAAAATTTTATCACAGGGATGCTGCTCTCTCTTGCAGTCACCCATTTCACAGACACCCTTTATTTAAGTCACCCCTGTGCCTGTGTCCTGCCCAGCATCAGCCCTTGGTCACCCCTGGGGATCTGGACAGCAGAGCCCGTGTTCTGCATTTTGTCCAGTTTCTGGTGCTGCACCACAGAGGACAGTGCTGAGCACGGCATGGCCGGTGGGAAGGGTTCCTGGGCCACCTCCTCCTGGTCCCACATGTCCCCATGTGTCCCCACATGTCCAGCGTGGTGCTGTGGATTCTACAACCCCAATGGCTGAGCAGGATTTTCAGTGCATAGGAATTAACTACAGGGCAGTGACATTTTCTCCCAGCAGCTACAAACTGGTCAGCAGAGCTTCATAAACATGGGAGAATCACAGGCAGCACTGCTGGCAGCACTTGGAGTTTCCACCCCAGCCTCTGCAACCTCCCTGTGGAGCTGACAGCAAAGGAAAGATTTTTTGGGCCAGATAAAATGACAGCATTAAAAGACAAGAGCTGTTTTATGGCTGTGCATCCACTTTCCACTGAGAGCTGGATGGAGACGACCGATACAATGCACACTGCCTGCCAGACAGCCACTGGAGACAACCACTTTCCCTCCAGGCTGGAGAATTTCCATCAATGCACAAAGGTTGCAGACTGCATTAACCTCCTTGCAAATGATCCTGAGCACAGCCTCCTTGCACTGACTCTGCACCAAGACCCCCAAAACTCATGCTGTGCCTGCAGGCAGCATGCTGCCATTTCACAGACATAGATCTGAGATAAAGCTCCTCCCTGCCAACACTGACCTTCCCCCAAAGACCACACTGATGTTCCTATCAACTCTCTGCTTCCCTCCCTTCACCCACTGTGGACTTTGGCTCCCACTGGTCTGATGGTCCATGAATTCTCATTGGACCTTACTAAAGGCACAGATGGGACTGAAACCTTCAGCTGGAAAGCCCAGTGCAGGCATTCAACTGAGTTTGGTTGCCCGTGGCTGTGTTCCTGCTGCCTGGATTTCTCTCTCTTTCTCATCATTCCCTCAGGGACTCATCCTCCAGCCCACCCAAGGGAGGGACCTTCCCACAGCTCTCCCACACATGGAGTACCCAAGGCTCTTGTGTCAGATCATAAGAAAGTCTGGTAAAACACAACATACAAATTACCCTGTGCCCTTCCTGCTGCTGGGCCGGGAAAGAGCAACGCTTGTTGGACCAGCAAAGAGAGTAAAACCCTTTGGGGCTGCTAGAGCTGTGGGGTTCACTCACTGATGAGTTGTGGGAGCTGCTCCTCATGAGTAGATTAACAACTGGAGCTGTGTCCTCTCCTTCTTCCCAGCCTGTCCTACAAGAAGGGACTGTTCCCAGTGATCCCAGCCCCAGGAGGGGCTCTGTGCTTGGAGGGAAGGCAATCCTGTTGCCCAGCTCCTGGGCTGGACGCTGGCAGCACAGAACACCCCCATGTGTGTGTGTTTGGATAAACTTTGTGCAGCTGCTGGCCGCCAGCCCTTGCGAAAGGAGCGGGGGAGCTGGGGCCAGTTCCTAGAGGACAGACAGACAGACAGACAGCCTTTCACACCACAGCTGGCTGCGAGCAGCACCCGGTGGGAAGAGCTGCCGGAGCCAAGGGACAGCCAGGAGTTCTGCTCCTCCTGGAGGAGGATGAGGAGGGAGCTGGAGCTCTGCCTGCTTCCCCGCAAGGGACCACAGGGGTGGCTCTGTCGCCTCGGGGGTGTCCCCTCCCCTAACTGCAGAGAGCTCAGACTCCCATCTAAGGCCATGTGGGACCTCCTGGCTTTTCCCCAGAGAGGGACCATCAAACAACTCCAGACTGGGAGTCATCCTTCCCTGGAATGATGGATTGTTTGCCTGTGCCTGTTTATCTTCGCTAGCTGCAGGGGAGCTTGGACAAGAAGCTGCTAACTGTCTGCAGTTGGGCAAGATGAAACACATCCTCAAGCTCCAAATTAATTAGAACAAGCCCATCGTGGTGGCCTCAATGGCAGCTGCCCCACGGCACCTTGCACACCACCCCCCTTCCCACCCGAGAGGGATTTAGGGGCACCAGTGCCACCAGCACTCAACCTGCCACTCCAGGGACTCATCGGGACTGGACCAAGCCAGTGGCACAGGAAGCAAACTGGAAAACCAGCAGGGTCTGCTGCCAGCTGCTACAACAGCAAAAGGAAGAATCCAGTAAAAGTACTACAGGAGCACTTAAAACAAACACTGTCACTTTTGGAAAAGAAGTATATATTACTAGAGAGATAAAATACTAAATAGTAGAGAAGTGTAAGCATTTAAAACAACAAATCTATCCTGCCATCACCCAGCTGTGCATCACACCCTCACGATGACGCATCAGCAGCTTTCGGCCCATGGAAGCCAAATGAGCTTTTTTGCGTGGGTCCCTGGGAGTCCCTGTCTGCAACAGAAAAAAGATCTGGCAGCTGCTGAGGAGAGCAGAGCTGTCCTCCAGGGACATTTGGAGCTGGACAGAGGGCAGGGAGCAGCCCAGTCCCTACTGGGCTCTCAGCACAGAAAGACACAGAGGATCCCAGGCAGCACAGGATGAATCAAGTGAATCATCCACTGCAGCTGCTCGACTCAATCCCTTAAGCTGAGCTTGCTTTCTATATCAAGCATGCAGATATAAATATAACTAGGAGAAGGTTTAAGAAAAATGTTAGGAAATAGAGGTTTTTTCCAGAAAAAGCTCAGCAAAAAAAAAGGCTTCATAAGATGACCTTGTCCCCAAAGAGTCAGGAGCTGAAGCTGCTCTCCTACCTTCAGGTCGCTGCTTTCTGCCTCCCGCAGCTTCTTCAGCCTGAAGTCGCCCTCGCAAGGGTTGAGAGCTGAGGGGGGGGCCACGCACGCACACTTGCAGCTGGGTCCTGACGTGATGGTTTCCACCGTGTAAAAATCCTCGGCTCTGAAGGCGCCCTCGTTAATCCTTTGGCAGGCGCCACGGCCCAGGGGTCTGACCAGGCATTTGCAGCGGCAGTCGGAGCCTTCGGACACCGCCTTCACCTTGTCGTAGTCACCTAGCAGCTGAGCACAGGTCACCAGCAGTGAGAAACTTCCTGTCCTCTGCACACCCAGGGACAAGCACGGCCTAGAGCTCAAGGTCCAAACAAGGACACTCTGGATACCCTGAATCTCAAGGAAACTGGCCAGCTCTTCCAGAATCTGCCAAGCCAAGGAGCTTTCTAGAGAGCACAGAGCTAATCGCTACCGACAAGGGAAATAAAAACTGGCTTCTTTCAGTTGGTTTTTTTGTTGTTGTTGGTTTTTTTGGTTTTTTGGGTTTTTTGGGGTTTTTTTTTGTATTTTTTATTGCACTGTGTGCAGAATGCCACTTTGAAAAAAATTTGAAATACAAGAGTTTTTAATTTTTCTGCTTTCTTTTAATGCTCTGTGTGCAAAAGACCTAATAAGCCACCTGCTACCTACAGCAAGACTGTTTTACACAGGCCAACCCGGCAAGGGTACATTGGAAGAGTGACTGAAAGCCACCCTATAAGCAGCGTAACCTGGTGGTGAAGCAGTACTTCTGATGAGCCCTATACAATGCCAGGAATTTCCTTAACGGAGATTTGCAGACAGCGCTTCTGGAAGCCCAAGCACAAAAATAACTTTGGCGGTACATTTGCAATAGTCTCTGCGTTAGCCATTTCCGAGGGCAGATAATAACACACTGCCTGATCAGCCAAATCTAACAGAAACCTCCACCGCATCCCACTGGCAGGGAAAGAGCCCGGATCCCTCCCCTCGGCGCACAAAGAGGCCCCACCAATTCTTCTCTCAATGAGTTTCCCTTTTTCTGAGTCCCCCCGGAGAAATGATAGGATGGAGTCTGTGAAGTGCTCCCTGATGGGCTTCAGTGATTTCACTGTGCCCGCCGTGATGAACTTCCTCCAGTGCACAGCATCACTGAGCTCCACCGAGAATGTACACCCAGCATCACCCAGGATGTGCGCAGCATCACTCAGCTCCACCGACAGCGCACACCCAGCATCACTCAGAGTGTGCACAGTATTACCCAGCACTGCCGAGAAGTCCACACTCAGGAGCACCCAGCTCTGCCGAGCACCCACAGCACGCAGCACCAGCCAGCGCCCCGCAGGGCGCGCACAGCCCCGCCCGGCCGTGCCCAGCCCCGCGCCGCGGTGCCGCAGTCCCCGCGGTACCTGCGAAAGGATGTTCTCCTGGTTGTCCGCCTCGTCCTGCAGCGGCTCGGCGGAGGGCCCGGCCGTGCCGGCGGGCTGGGTCCCTGCCCGGCAGCCGGCGCCCAGCGCGGCCAGGCAGAGCAGCAGCGGCAGCGGCCGAGCCATGGGCGGGCGTCGGAGGGGCCGGGGCCGGGGCCGGGGCCGGCGCGGAGCCGCCGCTGCTCGCTCAGGTGCGGAGCGGCGGGGCGGGCGGGGCCGGCCCGGACTCCCGCCCCGCTCCTCCTCCTTCCCTCCCTCCCGGTCCGACCTCCCACCCTCCGCTCCTCCCTCCGTTCCTCTCCCGGTCCTTTCCCCTTCGGCGGCGGGACGAGCCCCGGGCGCGCCCGAGCCCCTGGCGGCGCTTCCCACCTGCGGCGGGGGCTCCCCGCAGCCCCAGCCTCTGCTCGGGCTCCGCGGGGGCACTCGGGCATCGCCCGCCCGGAGCAGGCTGCGGGGAGCCCCCGCCACGCGGGGCTGCTCGGGGAGCCGCCACCAGCCTTCCCAAAGGGCCTGCGCTGCCGGTCGGCACCCGGCGAGCCTGAGCATCCCATCCCTGCCGTGTGCCAGGGAGCTGGGGCGGACGGAGAGCCATCCTTACGGCCTGTCTGGCTCCTTTTCCAGCTCCAGGAACAGCCTGGCTCTCACCCTCCATCCTTTGGATGGCAGGGAAATGGTCCCAATGGCACGGCACGGCACACCACGGCTCTCAGTCACACTGCCCACACTGGAGTCATACAAGCAGCATGTTCCAAGAAAGGCTCCCAGCCATGAGTGCAGACCTCTGTGCGCTCACTGAAATTCAGGCTGACGCCCTCGGGAAGCGGCTGTGCTCTGGCAGTCCTGTATCCTTGTGCACCTCCTGCCAAACGGAAATGTTCTGGACACGCTGTTCCCGGGGAGCGCACAGGCACAGCATCTCTGCACTGCCGTGACAATGGCTGGGCCTTGCCGACACAGAAGGGAACCCGAGGTGCCCTTACAAAGGCACCAGCGCAGGCCAGCACCATGGCCCAGGCATGACACAGACTCACATTTCCTCCAAACGTGCCCACAGGTCACGGGCAGAAGTCACACGCACAGCAAGTGGCACAGGAGGCCGTGTAAGCTCTTGCTGAAGCAAGGCTATGCACAAGCCAAGCACCCTCAGTCCCTAATGCACACGTGTCTCAAAATCACCCCAAATCTGGTGTCTGCAGCCCTGGGACCAGGCACGCTCCCTAGGGGGACTCCAGCTCCTCCATTCCACCCCTCTCTCCCATGGTAGCTCCGCAGGAATGGAGCTGCCAGACACAAAGAAAACATCTCGTGTGAGAGAGGAAGCGGCTGTGGCAAGGGGATGGCAGACGATGCTGACCTCAGGATTCGTGTGGGATGGCGCTGTGCCTCCCTTTCCTCTGGCCTCCCTGGGAAGGGAAGCCTGCAGAGAAGGGGGCAGGGCCGTGTGGGTCTCTGTAGCAGGGCTGAGCAGAACAGAGCAGGAGGGGAAGCAACCAGGGAGGCTGGGAGGAGAAGGACAATCAACCTTTGGCAACTGGAGAGCAGTGGGAGGCAAAGACATCTCTAAAAGCCTCCCCCGACCAGCCTCTCTCAGGGATAATAGGTCCCTTGAGCACAGGCTCCTTCACCTCTGTTTCCATGGCTCAACTTCCCTGAGGACAGCTACCCCATCTGTCAGCACAGGCTCTCCTGGGGCTGCCAGGCCAGCGCTTCCCCAGCCCGTGCCCAGCTGGCCCAGAGCACCAGACCCCCGTGCAGTCATGGCACTGCCAGGGCTGGCAGTGACACCAGCCCAGAGAGCTGCCACAGCAAACAGCACCTAAAACTGTGGAGGCCTTTTCATAATGATTGCTTTCAAAGACTGGAAAAACATAAGGAAAACAAATCAACCACGGTATTTCAAAACCAAAAGGAAAGATTTCACATTACTGACATACCTTGCTGATTTCTTTTCTTTCTAAGGGGAAGAAAGCATTTCTTATGGTGGTATTTAGTTTGGGTTAAAGATGGATTTAATCCTGTCCTTTGGGGGCAAGGAGAAAAACTGACAGGCACTTTGGGTTCAGAGCAGTCATCTCTAGAGTCTGAATATTCTTCCTTCAAGAAAAAAAAACAAGAAAATCCACAGATTGCAGAGGACAGCAGAGCAAGAAGGTGTGGTTCTGGCTTTTCTGTCTTGCTGATGGAAACTGGCCCAAACTTTGATGAAAGCAGGAGGCCCCAGTATCCTCATAGCTCACTCCATTCTGTTATTGGGCTCAAGCAAAGCCAGGGCTGCCCAAGGATGCAGGTAGACAGTGCTCTTCAAAGTGCAACAAGAACAAACACCACCAGGTCTGGGTAAAAGGGAATTTAAGTCTCAGAACAGGCAATGAGTATGTCTGTGCCTGGAGCTGTGAGTGCAAAAACCTGCCCCCTGAAGGCATGTCCTTGGTGCCTTGCTTCTCTTTGCTTGTCTGGGCCCCTGCGAGGGGGCCCTGCAGCAGGGGGACACCGTGGGTCAGGCCAGGCCAGGGGTGTGGCGGTGGCTCCGGGATGCAGGGGCCGTTCCTTGTGATGCCAGAGCGTGCTGAGATCGGCGGGACAGATGGACGGCACAGGCGGCACATCCTGCCCTTTGGGGACACCTGAGGCTGCCGGGCGCCCTGGGGGCGGCTCCCGGGGGCGGGCGGGCTCCCGCGGCATGCCGGAGCTGGAGCCCCGGGATGCCCAGAGCTGGATCCCCGGGATACCGGAGCTGGAGCCCCGGGATGCCCAGAGCTGGATCCCCGGGGTGCCGGAGCTGGATCCCCGGGGTGCCCGACCTGGAGCCCCGGGGTGCCCGAGCTCGGCCGGTCCTTCCCGCCCGTCCCGCTGGCGGGGGCGCAGCTCCCCCGCGCGGCACCGCCCGGCCCGGACACCCGGGCGCTCGGGGCTGCGGCTCCTCACAGCTCCTGGCGATGGAAACGCTTCCTGCTGGGGCCAGAGAGCCGTGCTGGCCTGCCCGCGACCCGCCGAGCCTCCTCCAGGCGGCACAAGCCCCAGCGCGCCCGGCCTTGCCTCGCAGGAGAGATGCTCCAGTGTCTTCCCCATGGCAGTGACCCCCACTGGAAGCTCTCCAGGGTTTTCTCCTGCTGCCGGCTAGCCCCACACTGCGTGCAGCACTCCAGGTGTGGCTCATGCAGCGCTGAGTAGAGGGGAAAGATCCTCCCTGTGCCTGCTATCAACCCTCAGCTAATGCACCCAGGACACCATCCGCCTTCTTCCCTGCCAAGGTGTGTTCCTGGCTCCTACCCAGCCTGTTCCCCGCCAGCACCCTCATGGCTTTCTCTGCCAAGCTCCCCTCCAGCTGGGTGGCCCGGCACATACTGGTATGGGGGCTGTTCCTGCCCCCAGCAGGACTCTGCCCTTCTCTGTGTTGAGCTACATGAGGTCCCTGTCACCCCATTTTCCCCAGCCTGTCTCTGCAGGGCAAACCAAGCCTCCAGCCTGCCAGGCACTCCTGCCAGTCTGAAAGGACACGTGCCAGAAAACTTAGTGTCAAAATCTGAAAGATCCCTAGCATCACAAGGATGGGACACGTCATCTTCCTTCTTATTTGGCCCAGAGGTGAGCAAGGTGAGCTACAGGCTGAGGTTGATCTTTGCATGCTCGTGGTATGTGCTGGAGCTCTTCCCAGAATCTGTGGCCTCAGCTCATGTGGCTTTTGGTGCCATGGCCTTGGGTGCCAGCAGCACATCCTGCTGAGAGAGACCAAAGCCTCAGGAGGCAGGTGGTGTTTGTAGTCCCACGCTGGATTCTGCGAGGCACTGTGCCTACAGAGGTCACAGACAGAGAGAGGCTGGTGGAACCTGTCCCCACATTCCTGGGCTCCACAGTGCCATGCCTGCTGCCAGCAGCAGCCAGGGCTCCTGAAGGCAACGCTTCTGCAGCTGCCAAGGGGATGGGTGAGGGTGTGAGTGAGAGGTGTGCTCAGCACTGCCACTCGCCTGGCGCAGCTTGTGGTTGGGGTGGCAGGAGGCCACACAGCTGGGCAGGGGCCGCAGCAATCAGTGGCAGCGCCTCTGCAGCAGCTCCACCACACAGGTTGGCCCAGGTGCCCAGGCTGAGGGAAGCTCCCTCCTACATCCATCCGCTGAAGGAGGAAATCCAGCCCATGGAACGAATTAACCTGGCAGGAAAACTCGTGACGTGACCCAGAGCTGCACAGCAATTTAAGAGGTTGCCCTGCTGACCTCAGCAGTGAGATTTTTGTTTATATCTCTGAGTCAAATGATACCTGGGTGAGCAGGCACACGCTCCGGAAACCATTCCGGGGCTGTCCACGGGAGCGGGAGCCACAACTGCCCCAAGCCTGACCCTTCAGCATTCCTCTGGCAGAGCACCTGTAGGAGGAGGCCCTGTCCAAGCCAGAACAAAAAAGGTATTTAAAAATATGTCCTAAAACCAGTTATAACAGAACTTTCCGAGCATGGTTTTTGAAACCAGGAGCAGGCCAGGTGAGTTGTACTGTGTCAGGTGGGTTAGCTGGCTGGGAAGAGTCCCAGGCTTCCTGGGCAGCTCTGTTCCATCCATAAGAGCTTATAAGAGTAGCTTAAGGCTGGGTTTAGGAAAACTTGCACTAAGCTGAACTGCACAGGCACTAATTACAAAGCTCAGGACAGATTACTGCAGTGTGAGCAAAGTGGGACTTCATACACGTTCTGCCTTATAATAATATTATGCTGAAATTCCTGGATTTCTGTTCCTATTCACCAAATGGTGGCAGATACTGGGGCCTGACATTTTCCCATTGGTGTCAAAGACTTTTGGGATTCACCTGGGCTTTCCTACACATCAAGGGATTCTGTCCCGTGCTAGCACTGGTACCTACAGAGTACCATGGAAACCCCATGCATGGCACAGCCAGGAAAACAGCTCTGGCTATTAGTCCTGGTTTGAACAGCACAGAAGATGACAAAGAAATCCAGTGGGTAAAAATAAGGGTGTGTCCATGCCTCCAACCCTAACTCATACCCAGCACCTTCAGGGATGCAGCTGTTCCATCCAGCCTCCCTGAGATGCCAGCTGATTGTACCCATCTCCACTTCACACTGTAATTAACCCTGGCCCCTGTGATCAAGGCAAGGTTCTACCCTGCTGTGTTTCAAAATACAAATCTCCTTGAGCACACACATCCCGTTCCATCAGGCACGTGCCCTCTCTGCCGCGTGGGGCTGTGTAGGCAGTCCCTGGATTTTGAGGCCACTCAGCCAACACCAGTGCCCTGCTCACAGCACACTCCCAGCACACCCACACGCCTCCAAGCTGCTCCATCACTTTGGGAAGGATCAGCATGTCCTCCTGCCCCTCTCTGCACATCCCACCCTTCAGCAGGAGGCTGTGACAGGAAGAGGGTGCAGAGGATTCACGGCTGGCAGGTGCCATGCCCAGGCACTGCACGTGTGTGCCCTCGCTGCCCTTGGCACGGTGACTGCACCAGCACCATCTGCACATTGCACCTGCTGGCACTGGGACCTGACACAGTCACAACAAGCAGCCCCTGAGTCACCAGCAAGGCCTGATTTACC